TAAAGCTATTATTCCTAGTAAATCTGCCTTATAAGTTGTCTTAATTTTACTTATTTCTATAAGAGCCGCTAGGCTAGAATAGTAGTTACTATACAGGCTATAGTACCTACGATTACTATAGCTATTAAGGCTGTTATAGACCTTACTATAATAAGTACTAATATAGCTAGTATAAACGCTAGGCCTAAAGGTATAAGGCTATAGGTCTAGAGTTATATAGACAAAACAAGGGCCTACCTTTATTTATATACTAGTTTACAAGTAGCTACTATACTCTACTTACAAAATTAACTAACGTTACTATCTTTAAGTCTACCTTCTTATAAAATCTCTTAATTAACGTATTCTCTATAAGGCAGGATACGTATAGTTAGATCTATAGATTAAGTACTATCTATACTAATAAGAGGTTCTAAAAGGTCGATTTGCTTTCTAATAATCGTGCTAGATAGAACATTTATATTAAAAAGGCGCGTATTAACTTACTATCTTATAAGTCTACTATCGTAAACCTTTTTATATTTAATACTACACGTATAACCTTAGGCCGTTCTTAAAAGCGTTAGTTTATCTCTTTAAAGATCTTGTCTATACTTACGTCTATTAGAAACTCTCTCTTAAGTTCTATAAGCTCTATAGAGTACTATAGTAACGCCTTACCTTATAAACAGGTTGTTTATATATCTTGTACTACCTTCTCTAAGTATTACTTTATAAGGTATTAAAGTTAGTCTATATAAAGGTAAACGTCTATATATATTGTATACTTTCTTTATTAAACGATGTCTAACTTAGTACCCTTACTATTAAATAACAAGTTAAACAATCCTATTACTTTAGTAGTTAAACGTTAGGTATTAACATTAGCGTTAGTAGTAAGAGCCTCTTTATTGTTATTGTTATTGTTATTATCTCTTTAATTCTACTTACTAAAGAGACATATAACTCGTTAAGTAATTGCCTCTTAATCTGCCTCTAACAGGCTAGCTAATCTGCCTCTAACAGGCTAGCTAGTAGTATACCCTTATTTGTTCTTAAACCTAAAGCTATTTCTTTCTTAATTCTTAGGAGGGGCTCTTTTAACTAGGCTTGTAATAAAGCTGTTATTAACGTACTACTATAGTACTTAATGTTTAATTCTACTATAATGTTTATTATTACGTTATTAAAATATTTAACTACTTAGTATAGTGTTAGTCTGTCTATTACTTACTTGTCGGGATATATAACTATTAAGTCGTCCTTAACAGATTTAAGAACGTAATTAACGATTTGTTATGTTAAGGCTAAGACTTGTTTTATAAAAGAGTCGCTTACTTTTATAAACTTTCTGATTTGTCTAGTAAGAAGGACAGTCTCTTTACTAACTATAGTATACTGTTATATAGTTCTAATTTAATAAATTAGTAGTATATATAATAGTACTATAGACGTCTAGCGTATATTAACGATTACTTAATTGTCTTAATGACCTAATAATCGTATTGTTCGACTAGTTTAGTAATCCTATAATAATCCCTAATAATACTTAATCCTTAATATAGGTTTAGTAGTTATGTGTTTCTTAATAATTTGATTTAACAGAGGTCTTTAATCCCTAATAGTGTAGCTAGGCTACTAGTACGACACGTAGTGTTACTAGTGTACCTATTAAGCGACAGGGCTAGTCTTAGTAGTATTACTACTAGATGTTATAGTTATTACGTAGAATCGCTACTTATAGCGCGTTTTGTATATATTAAATTCTATGATTGTCTTGTTTTCTAAGATATAGGCTATTTATAGGCTGTACACACTACGCTCCTTCCTTCCTTTCTTCTTATACACTATGTACTGTGTCCTGTACGCTGTACACTACTCTACTGTAACACTAAATAGCTTTAATTTAAAGGTAACTAAGCCTTTTGTACTAGAGCTTAGTTAAAGCGCTAGATAAGGCTAGAATATAGCTATTAATAAGGTATACAGTAGTTTTAGTAGTTATAGCTGTGTTAATTAAGTTATATTCTAGTATCTACTAGCTATTTTAAACAAGGGTATAGTAAAACGTCTTGTTTTTAAAGGTTAGACGTTCCTCTTTAGTATTCTAGTAAATCCTCTTTTAGATTAGTTAATAAAGGGATACTACGTTTATATAGAAAGTAGATACTAGAGCTATATTTAACAGCTCTATAGTAAAGGCCCCTTTTAGCCTATTAAGTTAGATCTTTATAGTACTAAAAGCTTTAATTAGAATTTAATCCTTTCTAGCTAATAAGAAGCTCTGTTTAGATGTTTTTTAGACTAAGCTAAACCTAGATATATTATTATAGACGTAAATAGTAGCTCTTAAGTCTAGGATAAAGCTTTGTTTTAGTAAGTAATCCTGTTCTTCTTTCTTAGTAACTAAATAGCTAAATTTAGTAGGTTTAGTAATATTAGTTAGATTAGCTATAGTTGTTATAGTAAAGGCTCTAAGGGTTTTGTCTTCTTCTTCTTTAATTACTTTAGTAATCTTTTTACTATTTAAATTACTTAATTAGAACAAGTTTAAGTTTAAATTACCTAATTAAGATAAGTTCTTACGTACCTTTTTCTAAATAGCTTTAACTTTCTTCTTTAAGCTAAGGTTTAACTTTAGCTTTTTGTTAATCTTTGCCTTAATATTATTATATAGTACCTATCCTTCTAGTTAAATTAAAGGGATTAGGTAATAGTACCTTTTAAGTAAGTACCTCTTATTACTATATATATAAGGTTTCTTATTTTCTTTATCTAATCCTTTGTTTAATCCTCTCTTCTAAAGAGTAGTAAAAGCTATATAATATCTCTCTCTTACTTTAGGTTCTTTCTTACTCTTAAGTTAGAGTTTATATTTATTAAGTACACTCTTAAATTTGACTTTCTCCTCTCTAAATAGCTAGTACCTTACTATCTAGGTAAACACTAGATCTACGTTATCTAGGGCCTTTATAAAGTCGTATATTAGCCTAGTTCCTTTAGTTTTAGCTATCTTAAGTACTAGGTAGTTACTATACACTATTTTAAAGTTATTAACTTATAAGGCTATTAATTAGCCTTGTTTAGAGGCCTTCTAAGCCTTTTTATATTCGTTAATTAGCTCTTATTACCTTACTTTATTAAAAGGAGCTACTTTATTCTTTAATTTTATAAGTATATTATATACTATAAGATAGGTATTAACGTACTAAACGTACTCCTTTTATATCGTACTAAATATTTAGACCCTAAGCTTTTATAGAGCTAGCTTTTACTATTTAACTAGTTGACTTTCCTAGTTATAACAGGCTTAAAGGATCTATAATTACTCCTTCTCTTTATTACGTAATTAGCTATAAGTTAAGTTTGGTTTATTCTCCTTAAGTTAACTTAGTTTAGGCTAAGCCGGCGCTTATAGTTAGGGTAGTAGCGCCCTTACTAGATTAACTAGATCTTATATCTCTAGACTAATCGTAAAGGCTTAGATCCTCTCTATCTAATCGTCCTAATCCTTAGTTCTTTTAAGGATATAGGTATTAAGTATATTAACTGTACTAGCTATTATATTTAAAGTCGAATTAGTAGTAACTTAGGTAGTAATTACTACTAAACCTATTGTTTAGTTAGTTACTATATTAGTAAGTCTAAAGGGTCGAAATAGCGCTAGATTTAGCGCTTAATTACCTTTAAGTCGATCTAGTTACTAATTAGGTATAGCGTTTAGGTTAATTATAAGTAGCTGTTAAAGAGCCTCTTACGTCTACTTAATATTTAAAAAACAGGCTTATTTACTACGTTAGTAGTAGCTAGACACAGGTCGATAGTAGCGTTATATAATCTAAAGGTTAAAGAGTCTTATTAAAACAGTTTTAGGAAACAACCCGGGCTTATAACTATTAAATAGGATAAATTAGGGGATCAAATAAAGGGGTAAATTAAGTAGATTTAAGTGTTAGGTTTAAGTAGATTAAATTAAATTAAACTAACTACTTAATAGAGAACGTAAAGAGAGTTATATATAAGTAAAGGTAGTAAAAACAGTATACTAAATATAGTATATACAGTAATACCTAGAACGCTATATAGGGTACGAGGTATGTAGTAATAGGTATACGGTAATCTATGTACTAGATACGAGGTATGAGGTAACGGACAAAATCTGGCTTCTGATGACGTGATTACCTAATTAGGCAATAGACGTGACATTCCCAGTTTCCAACAGATAGCGAACAAACTCTCCGGCTTTACCTCCTTCCCGGCGACCCGCAACAAAGGTTACTATTTCATCCCTTAAGGCGAAGACCTTCTCCAACCAAGCCTTCCACTCATTATCGCCGTCGGTCTCGGCTATCTCGTCGAAAACAGTCATGTCCAAAGTAGTGTTGAGTCGATGTGTTGCTGATTACGGTTGGCTGGTGTAAAGCCCCTGGTGTGGCCCGTGCGATAATTTCCTCGCTTATAAAAGGGGTAAAAGAAAAGGGGAGCGGGGAAGGGCCCCATAGGTGGAAATTGACAATGCGGAGAAGGCAGTTTGGGGAATGCAATCGAATGCAGAAACATTGCTCTAAATGAAGTTCATCTCCTCTTGGCACCTGCCCGCATATAGATTGCTTTCCGATCAGGAGGAGGAACAATGCTATTAATCGTTCATTGGTGGATATGCGAGAGTCGAGCCATGCCTGTTGTTGACCCCGTCGGCAAGACGTCCGATCGGCATCGGGTCCGCTTCTCGACCGTCTCGGCCAAGACCCCGACGTCTCTCTATCTGTTTAGTATCTATCTCGACCTATCTTGATATCTTGATATCTCGATCCACCCTCAATTGACCCCCTTGGCCCTTTCAACTAATAACCATGAACCTCGCTTTGTTCTCGCGATATCGATATCGACTCCCGCAGTCGAGGGCCATGCCATCAGATACCGCGAGTTGACGCGTGTTCTGTACATAGACCCTCCATCCCCTCCCTCCCTTCGGCGCTCAACTGAACCTGAACCTGAAGTGACTCGTCTCGCTGCCGCTCATGGCTTCGGAAAAGGTTCCTGTCGACGATGTTGTTGTTGCGCGGTCTTCAGTAGAGATTGGTGACAGTAAGAGCACTGATGATGGGCTCCCCACCAACGCGGGCAACGACGTCGATGTTGCTGCCACCTTCTTGGCTACCCTCGACCCGGCCATACTGGCCGAGCCCATCTCCGCAAAGGAATATCGCAAGCTGCTCTGGAAGATCGATCTGACGATCCTCCCTCTGTTATGGGTCACCACGATCGTCGGCGCTGTCGACAAGGTCATCATCTCAAATGCGGCCATCTACGGCATGCGGACCGATGCCCACCTCGGGGGCAACGAGTTCAACTGGGTCGGCTCGATCTTTTACTTTGGCTATCTGGCGTTCGAGTTCCCTGCCGCGATTCTCATTCAGCGTCTGCCTGTGGGCAAATTCTTTGCCCTCACAGTCTTTGCCTGGTCGGTTCTCCTGATGTGCACTGCTGCGGCCCAGAATTACGGCGGCCTCCTTGCGGTCCGTTTCTTCATGGGCATGTTTGAATCAGTCATTTTCCCCACCGCGACCATTGTCACCGTGATGTGGTGGAGAACCGAGGAACACCCAATCCGTATCGCATGCTGGTTCTCGCAGTTCTCGTCTATCTTCTCGGGAATCGTGAGTTACGGTATTGGGAACACGCACACTGCTATCCACCCATGGCGGCTCCTTTTCATCGTGCTGGGAGCCTTTTCACTGCTTTGGGCCGTTGTGTTATGGTTCTTGCTTCCGGACTCGCCATTGAAGTGCTGGTACTTGTCCGACCGGGAAAAGTATGTAGCAATAGAGCGTGTCAAAGGGAACAACACTGGTGTCGAGGACAAGAAGATCAAATGGTACCAAGTACGCGAGTGTTTGACTGATCCAAAAACTTGGTTAATCGCCATCTTTGCATGCGCCCAAAATATTCCCAACGGTGAGAGTCTCGTTAATCTTCTTCCAAGCCGCACGTTCTAATCTTTCTCCAGGTGGCCTCATAACCTTCGCCGGTATTATTGTTTCTGGGTTGGGCTACACCCCCTTGATCACTACCCTTCTCGGTATTCCTACCGGGGTTATTGCCACGGTTTGGAGCTGGATGATGGCGTACCCCACTGGGAAGATCAAAAATTGCCGGTGTGCTATCATCGCTGTCGCAAATGTCATCACGATCGTCTGTGCCATCCTCATGTGGAAGTTGCCCCGGAGCAACAAGCACGGTCTCCTGGCCGCCTACTACGTCTTCTACACGTACTGGGGCCCTTACGCCATTTCCACTTCTCTGCCACTAGCGAATACATCTGGGCATTCGAAGAAGGTGACCATGAACGCTGTATTCTTCGTGGCCTACTGTCTGGGCAACATCCTCGGTACGCTCTTTTCTCCCCCTTCCAATCATCTTCAGACCGTTTGACTAAATTTCTGCTCTAGGCCCGCAAGCTTTTCGAGCCGCCGATGCTCCAGACTACTCCCACGGCTACCAAGGCCTACTCGCCTGTCTCGTCCTGTCCATGTTTGCAATCTCTGGCTACGGCTTCTTATGCTGGTGGGAAAACAAGCGAAGAGATGCGGCGATGGATATCGACGGGCAGGCTAAGGAAGCCGAAGCCTTCTCTGATCTGACTGACCAAGAGAAGAAGTCATTCCGCTACACCTATTAGTCCCGATGACAGGAATTTTGTGTCTTAACTGAGAGTTTAATTGAAGAGGTGCTTCGTTGGGGTGTTAGTTACAAACTTTGGAAGATTGGAGTATGCGTGATCTTGGAGGAGTGGTTAGATGCTTTCGACCAGTGCCTCCCGCAGAATAGTACAAACCCAACATTATATTTCTGGATTAAGTTTCATCACACATTTGGCAATTTGACCTAGTTAAATTAACTTTAGCTATATACCTAGTATAGAAAACTACCTACCTAGGTACGGTTTTCAATCACGTGACATCAGGACTACCCCAAGGTAGGAGGTAAGTAAGATAAGTCAGAAGTTTGTTAGTGATATAACTCCAATAAGTTCTAGTGATTTCTCAATGAAGCTCTATAAATGCAATGTTTCTCCAGATATAATGTCCCAGTCAAGTTCATAGTTTGCGGCAGTACTTTGAAGAGAGTTGGAGAATGAATGGTCAACCATTTCAAATTCCGATATTCTTCTCATATATTCTAATGGCTATTCAATCAATCAGGCATAGGTAGGTGTCTAGCAAACAATAGTGATAGAAAGTCATTAGGTACCTAGGGACAACTTTTAATCTTGTTATATTAAACAACTTCTACTTTCAAAGGTACGCCATCTAAAGACGTGCTTTCTCTATTTCAGAAAATTTAAAATCCTTAGCCGTCGTCATAACCTGTTTATTCAAGACCCGTGGGCCCGCCTCTCCATCCTCCAAGCCATTTTTAGGCCCGCTGTCTTTCGTGCGCCACTGCCACAGGCGGCCGTACGCGTTTTTGTTATTGGGGTTTTCGATGATTGCTAGCACCTCGCGGCCAAGAATAGGGAGGAATTTGAAACCGTGCCCAGAGCCGCCTGAACAGATCATGAGGCCGGGATCTGAAGGCACCCGGTCGATCAGGAAGCTGTTGTCTAGACTATCGGTATACCAGCTATTCGGAAATTAGTCTCGAATGGCACTATCTAGCGTTCTGATGATGGTAGGTAATAGGTGATACGTACCAGTTTCTACAACCTGAGATCCCGAATGCTGTGAGTTCAGGCAGGTTCTCTTTGATGAATGCTTTCAATGTGTCGACCGCCTCCTTCGTAATCCGCGTCTCGGTCTCCGGGGTATACCTCGTCTTGGGCACGCTGAGTCGATGCCTCTGTCCGTCTCGCTCGATCGTCGCATAATTCGTGTATTTCTTCCCACGGAATCCGATCTTCATGATCCCAGTTTCGGTGCGCGGGAATCCCCCGATCCCGGAACCCTTGGACCATCCGCCCCACGCGTAAACGGGGAACTTCTCGCTGCTGAACCGCTCCCATAGATCGGGACGCTCATGCTGCGGTGGGAGTTGTATGTAGATGACGCTGCCAGCAGTGGTTTCCAGGAGCGGCGCCACGGGTGGAAACAAAGAGGGAGTCCAGCCTCCAGCTGTGCAGGGTTAAATGAGCAACGACAGAAATTGAGTAGGGAGTACCCGGAGCATCGCCTTAACTTACCGGCAAGGATTACAAGGTCGGCTTTATGTTCGAGCCCGTCTGCAGTCTTTATACCCACCGTACGCCCTCTCTCCTTGAGAAAGCAATCAACCCTGCCTACCTCATTCCCCAGCACAAACTTGACGCCGGCCTTGCGGGCGAGGTACAACGTCCATAGACACGCCTTGCTGGCCTCCACAAAGCCAGCAGTGGTATCAAGCACGCCGACTAGGTTCTGCCCGCGTTCTTTCCGCTTCAGCGCATCAAACTTCCGGTGCCAACCGTTTGCTTTCGCTCTCGCCTCGTCCCGGGGATCACCAATAATATACTGCGTGTCTCGCAGCCCATCGGCGGTCAGATTCGCAAGCGTCGACTTCTCGTGCTCCGACAGTTTCCCATCCGCACTGAGCCGCAGAAAACCGCAATTGTTCCAGATCTTGTCCCCTTGCTTCAAGCCTTTGGGCAACTTGTGCGTCGGCGTCGCGGCCAGCTCTCGATTCCACGCCTCCCAGATCGGCAGAGCCTCGAAAGCGAGGCGCTGGTACAGGACCTCCTCGCCGTAGCTCAGGCGCATGACCTTGTTGAGATCGGCGGAGGCGGCATCGGCGCCGTCCGTGGTTGAATAGGCATTTTGCTCATACGGTTGGTAATCGAAGACAGTAACGTTCTTGTATCCCGCGGCGGCGAGGTGTAGGGATCTGTTGGAATGTGCAGTTAGTAAGGCAGCATTGGGGGAGCCAGGAGAGAGAGGGTTCCTGACGTGGACAATCCAAACACACCAGCTCCGACAATAGCAATGCTCGAGTCTTTCGAGAGCGTAGTGGGAGGCATGATGGCCTTGGCGCAATTGTAATCCTCTTCGGGGCTTATAGCTGGGGTTCAAAAAGCCAAACCTCACTTTGCGGGTGGCATTGCGGGCAGGGCTCTCAGTTGGCCTGTTTTGTATTTATCTGATAACTCTGCTGGGGCTTACCCCAGGGTCCGAGCATTATGATTGAGTTGCGCGATCAACGGGCACGATGATGGGAGTCGAACATCCAGGCGGCGATAGTAATGTTCCGATAGTAGATAGGAGGCGGCTGTTTCGGACGATTGTCCGACGGCCATTCCCGAAGCGAAGGTAGAGCCGACTGGATTTTTGGTATGTCATGCAATAGTGTAATAAAAGGTAAACCATGTTGGCAAACCCCATCTTTCGAAAGCCGCATTGCAAAGAACAACTAATCGTCAGGCAACGGCCTGACGCGGCCATTTCTCGGGGCTCTATGAGACTTGGGAATGCCCTCACGGAACCACCAGAAAGAGGGGAGGTGACGCGGGACTATGCTGCGATACGCTGTGTTCAGTACGCATTGCATCCCGTGAAAAGACCAAGTTCAAAGACCCGTCTCTGCCTGTACGCTGTTACAGTAGACCCAGAATCAGCACAGCCGTATCTGTTTATCCGGAAAATAGTCAAGACTTGATTAAATAGTCATCCAATTCATTATGGCAGTCACCTCCATACCCAACCCTAAACGCCATGTCTACGCTACAACCAGACGCCTGAGGACGAAAAGCCAACCGATTCTTTGCGCCTGGATTTATATAAGTCAGTCTGTCATCACAGTGACTATCCTGCCCACGAAAGTCTACGTGGGATTTTCAAACATATTAGTGAAAGCCAAATGTCGGTGCTTGAATGCCCATCAACGACTGAAAGTGAAGTCCGGAAGGTCGTCAAACATTGATTCCAGGGCCCAATCATAATCTCTACGAAGTGGTGGCCACTGTGCAGCAGATGCCAGGGACTCTCCGAATTCCAGCGGATCCTCGGGGAGGAGTAACATCGAATCGTCCTCTTGAGGGCGCGACGTTCGCGTATTCATACCCGCAGAACTATCTGCCTGTTGCTGTATCGTCTGCAGAAACCTGCTGAAAGACGATTCCTCTTGGTGCATCACATGGGAATCCTTGGCGACGAACCATTTGAGCGTTGTGACGGACAGCATCTCAAACGCATCTCTGCATCCGGCAGCGCCAGGGAAGCGCTCCGCCAGAGCAGCGAGAACACTGCTGCACCGCTGTGTCGTGTCCATCAGATCTTGAAATGAAATCCGATTGAGGACTTCATCCGAGTGCCAGACACAGTACACCATGGTCAGCCCGGCAAGAATTAGTCGGTGAACCCAGGTCCACGGGGTCTCAATTCTCTGCTCGCGATATAGCATTTTAATACTGGTGATAATACTGCAGGACACCTCAAAGCAGATATTTAGCGATGACGGTGTTAGACATGGGACGAGTGGATTAGGTCGATATAGCAATAAAAGTGCACTGCTGTACATTGCGTCCCACCAGTGCTGAGAGGCAAATATGCTCTGAGGATGCGCTTTATCAAGTGGGGGTGTGTTGGCCTTCCATTGCTCTAGCCTGGGATGAATGTCTCTTATCCAGAGGTTGTAGTCTGGTAGTGGAAATGCCAGGCTTGCGCCTTTCATCTGCTGGTAACAGACTTGTTTGATTTCGGACTGTAGCTTGTAGAGCGCAGTGAGGTGGTTGGCGGCACGTTTATGATGGATATCGATCTCGTCGAACCCCGCCGGATTGCGTGGCTCTTGACGGTTCGTCACATTGAGCCAAGGATCGGGAAGGCCGGTATTGATACTTTGGTCGATGATGCCAAACGGCCTCCCAAGTGTTATAACAAGCGCTCTGTCGAAGTTGTAACTCGCCCAAAACAGCCGTCTTCTTTCGTCTTGTACTACTGGGTCGAATTTGGAGGCAGACCCTGCTTCCCAGTGCAAGCCCATCTCGATGCACAGTCTCAGAGCGGTCCCACTAAGCTGCCACAGGTTGCCTTTGGACGGACACAATGTCACGTACTGACACAATAACAAGATTGCACCAAGGGTCTGCAGATCACTCCTGGGGTAGACAAAAACTGCGTCAAGCGATCTCATAGCCGAGTTGAAACAACCTTCACTTTGCATCGGCCGACTATTCTCGTCTTTAGCAATCCCGCACAAGCCAGTCGCGAGGATCATATATGTTGTAAAGAGATCTTTCTCTACACTGATGCGTGTGCGTGAATCATGCACTTCCGAAAAGCCATTCTTGTATACATTGTCAACTGCCCGTTCAACCTGGTGACGTTCCAGGATAGCGAAATGCGGGGTTCGGTGCTGGTAGTAGACTTCAACGATGTGATCAGCCACGTGGCGAGGGGGCAAAGACGAAGTTATTCCTGGAGTAGTAGCAGAATGCTGGATCGGCTCATGCGCTCCGCTCGTGGGGGGAGGAGCGGGTTGCTCGCATCTGATCGCCCCCATTACCATCTTCGCGAAACTAAGCCCGCTGCTGGTTCCCATGAAACGTGGCTCGCTGGTGCTTTCTAGCGCCACCAACCCAATGGTCCTGACGAGATCTCTGGGATCGGAGTTCAGTTCCTGCCGGTCAGGATTTAGCATTCCGTCAGGACTCTCTCCCTGCTCGCTTGATTGCACCCCTATCCTTTGGCGAGGATACTCGCTCGGTGAGGCATCGTTGCTCCTCGGGCCTTCCCTTCTAAGCTCTTCTACTTCGGCCTTTAGCCGTTCAACCTGTTTCTCGAGGTTGGAGACATAGTTTCTCTGGACTTCGGACTGTTTGCCGGGAGAATAAGTCATACAAGGAACGCCGGCCGTATGACAGCTCGTGCACTTGGGAAGACGCAAGTCACACTGGCGAAGGGAAGCCCAGTGCGTCAGCAATCATACTTCCTGACAACCAAGAGCGAGATGGGTGCCCTACCTTCTGCTTGCGCCGACGACACCTCTGGCACGCGTTTGCGCTTCTGCTAAGTCTCGGCACCGAGGGAGCCACTTCGGCCATTGTTGATTGTTGACAATTGTCTACTTGCATGCTTCGCAAAAGGCACCGACGGAGTCGGATCGGAAGGACAATGTAGAGTGGATAAATACGGGTTGGGAAAAAGTCGACCGTTGGTTGATTGCTCTGAAATACCGCTACTGCTATCAAGGCTCGGCTATCTATCAGCACCGGCAAGGGGGGAGAAGTGGGGGAGTGGAGAGCGAATTTCCTAGTCCTATTGCGGTTAGCACTTTCGGGATCGGGTACCTTATTATCACCCGGGATCCTTGTCACGTTTAAGCTTATCACGGCCGACGCGTTTCAACCGCTTTCGCACTTCTCCGATGACCAGAACGCCGACGGAAGATTCTCCGCTTGCATTGAGAGCACCGCAATCAACTTCGGGAGCACCGCAATCGACTTTGTATCGGCCTGTGGAGATGGATAGTGGCCCCGCTGCGTTCCTCTCCCGGAACAATAGGGCCATGGATCGAGCCACAGAAGGACGCATATATCCACATCTTTGTCATCTATAACGTTGACGTGCAGCCACTCTTTCCACTGCCTATAAGCCGCATTGCACGTCTGTCAACTTCTCCAACCTTCAGGTACTTGCATCATCCATTCTCTTCGACAAATGCCTTCTCGTCTTCCAAAGATCGACATCTTCATCGATGTGAGCACTCTTCCCGCCCCTCCCTGATGCTCGTCTCTAACGTTTATATTAATGGTAGCGCGGTGGTACCTTCACGGACTGCATTGGTATCCCTGAACGAGAGAGCGGCGACGAGATCGTCGTCAAGCTTCTGTCGGTTGACCCGTCAAATTATGAAGATGCTCCGACTGAAGGCATTCGGCGGATCCTTGAGATCTTCACAGGGACGCCAATTCCCCGGAAGGGGAGACTTGATACCTCTCGGATTGGAATAATCCGCATGGGAACGTAAGTCTGGAGCACCTCGGTGCTTTTTTTCCTTTTCGCTGGACTTTTCTCAGACTGAGTGCTCTAGGACCGTTGCTACAAACGCCCTACTTGAGAGAAAAGGCGAACCTTCCGCACTCTTGATTACACAAGGATTCAAGGATCTTCTTGCAATTGGCTACCAGGCAAGACCGAAGTTATTCGACCTTGCCATTTCTAAACCGGATGTTCTTTACTCCGAGGTGGTGGAAGTCGAGGAACGTGTCACGATGGAAGATTCAACTAAGGACCCGTTGCCAGCGGGTTCCTTTGACGTAGCTTCAGATCCTGCTCTGAGAGTAGGCAAAAGTGGAGATGTGGTCCGCATACTCACGCCCCTCAATGTTGAGAAGACTGCGCAGTCGCTGAAGGAGCTCTATGCCAAAGGTTACCGTAGCATTTGCATCTGCCTTGCGCACAGTTACAGTTTCCCAGACCACGAAGAAGCTGTCAGAGACCTTGCCGCAAAGGAAGGCTTCACAAGTATATCTGTGTCATCGACACTGATTCCCATGATCAAACTCGTGTCACGTGGTATGAGCGCCACCGCCGATGCCTACCTCACTCCAGAGATCAAGAAGTACATCCAGGGCTTCAGAAAAGGATTTGCAGACGACTTGCAGAAGACAAGATGCGAGCTCATGCAGAGTGATGGCGGTCTAAGCAGCATTGATCGGTAAGAACTCAATTGGGCGTGTTAATCTCTAATGGGGGCTAAACTTACTGCACAGGTTCTCTGGACTGCGGGCAATCCTGTCTGGACCGGCTGGGGGGGTTGTCGGCTATGCCAGAACTAGTTATCACGACGATGATGGTGTCCCGGTGATTGGATTTGACATGGTGAGTAAGGCGGTTCATCATATAAAATCCTGCTAACCCAAGCTCCTTATCAGGGCGGAACATCAACAGACGTCAGTCGCTACGGTGGCGCTTTCGAACATGTGTTTGAAACCACCACTGCTGGCGTCACTATTCAATCTCCTCAGCTAGACATCAATACGTAAGTCACATCACTACTTGCCCTCTGATATATATGCTCACTATATTCTGTTGTGAAGCGTTGCTGCAGGCGGTGGTAGCATCCTTGCTTTCAAAAATGGCCTGTTCGCCGTGGGACCCGAAAGCGCAGGCGCTCATCCCGGCCCTGCATGCTACCGAAAAGGGGGCCCATTGACAGTAACAGATGCTAACCTCTTCCTCCATCGACTTCTACCCGAATACTTCCCTTCGATCTTCGGTCCCACTGAAGATCTTCCCCTGGACTATGAGGTTACTAAAAAGAAATTCATTGCCCTAACACAACAAATCAATGACGAGACCGGAGGTAACATGACTCCTGAAGAAGTGGCTCTCGGGTTCCTGGGCGTGGCAAATGAGGCCATGTGCCGTCCTATTAGGGCCTTGACTGAAGCAAAGGGATTTGATGTTTCCGCTCATAGACTGGCGGTGTTTGGGGGAGCAGGTGGACAGCACGCATGCTCAATTGCTGACAAACTAGGTATCCATACTGTTGTCATGCATAGATACTCTAGTATTCTATCGGCATATGGTATGGCATTAGCCAGTTTAGTTCAAGAAGTCCAGGAGCCAGCATCACTCATCCTATGTCCGGAAACAACGAGTGAAGTATCAGCCAGGTTTCAGAAACTTCAAAGCCGAGCTGCGGAAGAGCTTTTCAACCAAGGTGTTTCCCGGGATCAAGACATTGAGATGCAACTCTTCCTCAATCTCCGTTATGACGGAAGCGACACACAGATGATGATTCGCCAGCCAGAGGACGGCGATTTCAAGACTGCTTTTGAAACCAAACACAAACGAGAATTCACATTCCTCTTTCCCAACAAGAATATTCATATCGACGACATTCGAGTGCGTGCCGTGGCTAGGGAAAATGAGCGACAGATGGGAAACATTTTTGAGGACTTGGCAAATCAGCAAGAGGTTCCTCTACAAAGCTCCAACGAGCTCGTGAAGACATATTTCAGTGATGGTGGATGGCGGGATACCCAAGTTTTCAAGCTGTCAGACCTTACACCTGGAAACCATGTTCGTGGCCCGGCAATAATCATCGACAAGACTCAGACTATTGTTGTTACACCGACATCATCAGCAAGAGTGCTTGAGCACCACGTCATCCTCCAAGTAGGGGTGGAGAGGAGCCTGAAGACTGCCCTCACGACAACCCCTACCATACCGGATCCAATTCAGCTTTCTATCTTCAGCCATCGGTTTATGTCAATTGCTGAGCAGATGGGAAACACGCTACAGAAGACGGCAGTGAGTATTAATATCAAGGAAAGACTTGACTTTTCTTGTGCTATCTTTGGCCCGGATGGTGGTTTAGTAGCCAATGCACCTCACATCCCTGTTCACCTTGGAAGCATGCAGTACGCGGTCAAGTATCAGCATGACAAGCATGGGGCGACACTCAAACCGGGTGATGTTCTTGTGTCCAATCATCCTATTGCTGGTGGTACCCATCTTCCCGATATCACAGTGATCACTCCCGTCTTCAGTCCGAAGGGGGAAATCATATTCTACACAGCATCAAGGGGACATCATCGAGACATTGGTGGCTTCGGCGGCATTTCTGGAAACGCAAACGCGACTGAAATTTGGCAAGAGGGCGCATCTATCATTTCCTTCAAGCTCGTATCCAACGGAGTAATGGATGAGGAGGGCATCACCAAGATCTTAGTCGAGGAGCCGGCACAATACCCTGACTGCGTAGGCAGCATGAACATCAAAGATAATCTTTCAGATCTGAAAGCACAAGTAGCTGCTAACGCCAAAGGTGCCCTGCTTATCGAGGATCTGTTCGAGTATTATGGACAGGAGGTTGTACAGGTGAGTGACAACATCAATTAACAAATTTTCTGGCTACTGAATCTAACGACAACTTCCCACAGTACTATATGCATGCTATCCGGAAAACGGCTGAGATGGCCGTTCGCAACTTCCTGAAGCAGACAGCCAAATCGGCACCGGGAAGGACTCTCAAAGCAGTGGATTACTTGGACAACGGAACCCCTATTCAAGTTGAGATCAGCATTCACGAAGATGGCAGTGCAGACTTTGACTTTACTGGCACCGGTCCAGAAAATTTGACGAACCTCAACGCCCCCAAGAGCGTCTGCCTCTCGGCCATCATCTACTGTCTTCGCTGCCTCATCAATGACGATATCCCTCTCAACCAAGGTTGTCTAGCCTCAATTCGCGTTATCAATCCGGAAGGTACTATACTAAACCCCTCAACCGATGCCGCCGTCTACGCAGGCAACACCCAGACCAGCCAACGTGTTGTCGACGTGATTCTGCGTGCTTTCGGGGCCTGCGCCGCAAGTCAAGGGTGCATGAACAGTATGAGCTTCTTTGGCGGCCGTGATGCCACACCCGGGAAGGGCTACAGCTTTGCCTATGGCGAAACAGTCTGCGGCGGTGCGGGTGCAGGGCCGACCTGGGACGGTGCCAGCGCGGTCCATTCCCACATGACCAACACTCGCATTTCGGACCTCGAGATCCTCGAGAAGCGCTATCCCATCATCTTGCGCGAGTTCACGCTGCGCCAGGGATCAGGCGGGCGTGGTCTGCACCCCGGAGGGCTGGGGGTAACCCGTGTGGTGGAAGCCAGAGAGCCCATGACCTTCTCCATGATCTCGGAGCGCAGAGTGACGAGGCCATATGGGCTCAATGGTGGCTTTGATGGCCAAGTTGGTCAAAATCTCGTCAGACGGGCTGGCGCGGAGGGGAAGGGTGGACGAGTGCTCAGTTTGGGGCCCAGGGGAGTGGTTAAGATGCAGAAAGGTGATCAGTTTATTGTTCACACACCAGGTGGAGGGGGTTGGGGCACGCCTGTCTAGATGGATCGTGGACGGGCTTGTAGGTTATAGAAGGGCCTCTTTGTAACACTTCGCGAGGTATTAGTTTCACCAGATAGAGAACTATAGAGTTAGTCTGTAGTCGTCGTCGACGAGCTTCAGCAGTAAATAATAGCAATGGGTGCTTATAGCACCGCTTCCCAGTGAACTCATACGCATAGTGATAATATAATTGCGAGCTCCCTTGTCGGCCCTCGTCAGACGGTTGCAGTATTCAATTCTCCACCTCCCTTGCCACCATTGGTAGAGCGAATGATACCTTCATCAATATCAATCTATCTATCTGCATTTCCGTGCTTTAGGAATAGATAAGTAGGCCGATAGGAGTGGGTCCCGGGGTGCGGTCCCGGAGCAAAATGGGTATAAGTAGGAGGAGGATTCCCCTCTCCCCGTGTGTTCAGCTTTAACAAAGACAAAGACACCAATTTCCAGGCTAAGCATACAGCCACATTACCTTAGGAGGCTTCTTCTATCTTTCCCTACCTTACCTATCCATCTGCCCTCCTGTTAGTATTCTATTAGAATTATTCTTACAGGAGTTCATCCTTATCCAAATCCATCATGCCACAAAAGCTCAAGCTTGCCGTCGCCCAATGCCACACCCAGTCTTCAACCAGCGAAACACTCGCCGCGCTTGCCACAACCGTGACTAACGCTGCAAAGGCAGGCGTCCATCTGATCCTCTTTCCGGAAGCTTATTTTGGAGGGTAATTAAATGGCTGGCTATCCTGAAATCTGGCAAGAAAGTTACTGACGGGAAATATTATCAAAGATACCCGCGAACGTGCGCGTTTGGCGCAGCAGTGGGGAGGCGCTCTCCAGAAGGCCGGGAACAATTCCTGCAGTATTTCCACGGCGCTGTGGATCTGGGAGATACGCCTGCCGGAGCGGGAGATGACTGGGTGCAGAAGAAGCTTCCCGTTGCGAAGGGCAGTAAGTATAGAGGCGATGGAACGAGAGAAGCACTCGAAGAAATAGCCAGGAAGACGGGGGTCTTCGTGGTGACAGGGATCGTGGAACGAGCGGGTGGGAGCTTGTACTGCTCGGTGGTCTATGTTTGTCCGAGGGAGGGCATGGTTGGTAAGAGAAGGAAGGTCATGCCAACGGGCAGTGAGCGATTGATATGGGCCCAGGGATCTCCGGCAACACTGAAAGCTATCAGCACCACAATCGCGGGCGTGAAGCTCACTCTTGCCGCTGCAATATGCTGGGAGAACTTCATGCCCCTCCTCAAGATGAGCCTCTACTCACAGAATGTCAATCTGTACCTGGCGCCCACGGCTGATGGTAGGGATATTTGGCCAGCACTCATGCGAACCATCGCCCATGAAGGACGCTGCTTTGTCCTCAGCGCAAACCAGTGTCTGCGGCGCAAGCATTTACCATCGTGGGTGCGGGGCGAGTCTAGCACGACGACGGCAGATGATGAAGAGTTTGTGAGCCAAGGAGGCTCATGCATTATCAACCCCATGGGCGATATACTGGCGGGGCCCTTGAAGGGTGTGGAAGATGGCATTCTCATGGCCGAGTTGGACTTTGAGGATTGTGAGAGGGGCCGATTTGACCTTGATCTAGCAGGGAGCTATTCACGGAACGATGCATTTAAGATGACGGTGGAAGGTTTGGATATAAGCCCGCCGCCATGAACATGGTACGGGTTTTCAATAATTCGTGTTCCTGGGGTTTTGAGGGGGAGATGAATTGATGTAGATATGAGTGAGGCTGTAGGAATCTGGGGAGTCCAAGTGTGGATCCACGATTTCAGGGGCTTCGGTTAGTTAGGGGGGTGGGGGCTCCAGTATATACAGCCTCCCTTTTTAGAGTCCTCTATAAGCCAAACATGCTTGCTTATCCTTTTCTCATAGCCAAAGTAGGAGTACCCTCGTCTGACTTCGGCGATACCCCAATGAGTTTGCCTGTTCATTCGGAGTGATTGCACAGCTTCTGCCGAACCTTTTCCTCAGATATATCCACGTTCCTTATGGGCGCAGCGAGCCTTGATGTCTCGCATTGACGAACTGCTCAAAACGGGTGGCAGAAGATTGATGCTCACCTCAGTCGTGATCGGACTTATCAATAGGAAATTGTGACCCATCGCCCTTTTTTGGTGCTGGAGTTTTCGGGCATGATGTCCGTGGTGAGGCTGGGAGCTATGTTCTACTCTTCACAGTTGTCAAAGGGACCGAAAGGGGTTCGGCTGCTCGAGCATTATATTCTGTCGTAGTTATGAGCCACTCATCCGCATCCTCTGCCCCAAAGATTTGATAGACTTAAACAGCCAGACGGCAAAGAGCGATCCACATATTGGTCCGACCCGATAAATCTAATGTTCGTGCGGAAAGTCGCGAGTTGCGATGGCGGGAGCGAGAGTGTCAAAGAACAGCCGGTCCCTAAATATTAGCACTATTGCTTTGCATCTGGAATGAATCGAAGCTAACCAATGAGTTGCGCAACGAAGAAAGAGGGTCCGATGCGAATGGGTGCTAAGATTATACCATCGTTCTTACCCGCTGCCAGCATAAAGATAGTGAAGACTAACAATAGACTCGTTAACAGCATCTCGGGAATAATACCTTGTGCATAGCTAATATGGGGATAAAGAGCTATTCCACCTTTGAGACGACCGAGGAAGAGACCTTTCGCTATGTAGGCTGCAATGACGGCTCCAATTCTTTATGTAGACTAGAACAAGAATGACCAGGACAATCTGATAACATTGCAAATGTAGGAATCTCGAGATCGTAAGCATTAGGGCATGTGAACAGTGACAGAGCCAGTCTAAGGACAATGAAGGGAACTGTAGGAGTTGGGGATGGCGACGCTGAAAAAGACAGGAAGGGGTATCATTCATGTTCGAGAAGTAATCGCTGTCCCAAACACTCCCTATTGAATGAGCCTAAGCAATCCATCCGGCATTGCCTATCCCATACAGACAATTTGCTCGTCCAGAGGAGGGCATTCAGATTATAAGACCGAGTCTCGAACCAGAGTCCAGGTCGTCATGCCTCTCTGTGCGATCCGGATTCAGACTGGAACCAGACTTGAATAAGCTTCTTGTCTATGAGAAACAACATAAAGAACTCACAGAACATGTACTAACTGAAATTGTTCTAATGATTGAAACTATGGCTTGTAACTTCATCAGTAGTGGTGGATAGTGATGGCTTTGACATCCAGGAACCAAAACCAAAGTTGTCTTTCTACCGCTGGCCTCAAGTTGCGTCGAAGTCTGAGGGCCAAGTACGAGGCAAAGATGCGTAATTCACCTCGTTCTGTAACGAGTCCTGCTGAGATTTGGTCTGCAACTTGTTGGAACTGGAAGGGCGGCAGCGCCGTGGTCACGTGGGCGAAGCCAGGAACGATCAAGAGAAGCATCGCCTGATGCTTTGTTTTCGGGCGTTCTTTTCTCCTTACTCACACAATGATACCGGTATTATTACAACTCCCAGGCCCTTGAACGCCTTTTCCATGCTTCAGTCATCGATAGAAACGTTAATACAGTAGAGCCTGTCAGTCCAGCTTAGCCCATTCCTACAAACTTGAACCAATTCGGTCGGCAGTCCTCTTTTAGCAACCAAGACTCTCCATCTGTAAACCTCCCAGTCACACAACCTTTGCATTTTGGAGAGTTCGGGCAGTTGAAATACGGGATGTGCTGGTAACCGATATCACGGAACCTGTCCATTAAGTTAGTATCTAATTGTACCTGCATCTCAGAAGATGGAGAGGGCTTACCAATGGATCTTGCTCGCATCCTCGAACAAGCCCAACGCGATACTATGAACTGGCGCGTCACCCCATCGCTCATAAAAGAATCCACCGGCACGATCCAAATGATTGAAATAATCCTCATACGCTTGACTCCGCCAGAAATTCATATCCGCTATCTCGAAATTGCTCCAGAAATGGCAGGTGCTATATCCGTTGGCCTTCAAATTATGTTCCGGCCTCCTGTCGCTGTCCGTCAACCAGTTCATCGCGTTGTTCTCGTGGAGATATTCCGAGTGTTGCGCTATAAATTTCATGGTCTCGGGCCAAAGTTGTGGGATGGATTGCGGTGCATCATAAAGATTGATGGTGAAGCCGTAGGTCTTGTTATGGTCGGCCATGTACCGGAAGACATCGTAGTCGACGTCGCAGAAGAAATGCACCTTCGGCTCAACGCGCCAGTAATACTGCATGTGCTCGAGTGCCGGGTGTTTGTAGAAGAGGCCGCTGTTCCATCGGCACATTTGGTGGTAGGATTTCATGCTGCCGTATTGAATGTCGTTTTCTTGGAGGATCTTGGCCGATTCTTCGAAAAGCTCCATATCGATCCACGAGGGGATCGCCCAGTGTTCCTTAGGTATTAACTCTAGGGACAGTGTTAGCTGTGGCACGACGTTGATGTACGCGTAACCTCACCATATCTGCATTCCGCCTTTGTCTGTGCCTGTGTTCGGCGCTTGAACTCTTCGGTAAAAGGGACGTCGTTGAAGAAAGTCCATGGATAGTTGAATTTCGAATTCCAGGTTCGCTCGAGATCTTGCATTGCTTGGACGATGCCGTCGATTTCCTCGTTTCGAACCAATGATAAAAGGGTAGCGTTGATTCGCGCCGTCCCCTCAGGACCAGGCGCGTATCCCTCTTCCACTCTGTGCAAAATCCCTTCAGGTTCGCCCGTGGCTTCACATTGTGTCAGGAGACCTCTGCGCAGGGAGAGGAGGGAGCTTACGGTCTAGATTTGGATCTCTGTCCATGTGCTCCAGCGTATCCCCAGGACCCTTTGGATACCTGGTCCGTCCAAAGACCTGGTAGAAGAAGAAGATCCATAGGCCTAAAGCCAACAGGCCCAGCACTCGGATTGGTCGTGCTATGGCCATGTTGGAATGGATGTGGTGTTGTGTGCTCTCTTCAAAAAAAAGAGAGAAATGGGCCTGAAGCCTGGCCTCTGTATTGTTGCTCCTGAATGCTCGGCACTAGCCACGATGTCTCAACCTCAGGCAGAAACGATTGGTGAACGACAATGCAATTGTCAGCTGTCAACCTTGCTATGTGACGAATACATGGGGCCACCCAAGTGTAGTATTGATGAAAAGTTGTAATTTATACACCAGAGAGAGCCCCCCATTCAGATGCCAACAGACGGAGTCTTTCGAAGTAGCCAGATTTGATTCAGGGGTGTAGGACCCCTGATTCGCACGACTCGTTCGCTTCGGTCCCATATTAATCCGCCGGCGCGTTCCCCTCGGCGCGTCTGCCATTTGGACCTCGAAGCCTCAAGTTCCCGGGACCTCTCTGGACTTCTCGCAATGGCGCATATTGTAAGACTCGGCGCATTAACAGATGAGCTGGTTACCCTGCTCACCTCAACATCTCCGAAGGTGAGTGAACAAGCAGATCTGATTCTCTCCCCCGCGCCGCCCTGGAGCGCATTGTTTTTCCGGTGCCTTCTCCCCCATGGTCTAACACCGAGCAGCCCAACCCCACGAAATTCAATCTATATCGCGAAACCGCTCTGCGAACTCTCCGGTATTCTAATTACCCGCGGACGGATCAATTTGATATTGCCCACCAGCTCGATGGGCTGGAAGAGAAATTCCGTGTCTACAATGAAGATCCGCTGGCGGATGCGCTGAGGGAACGGCTCGACGAGTTGGCGAAAAGGGAAGGGAAACGGACGCCCGAAGTTCTGCATCTACTTCTTGAGCTTTCGGATCAACCTGTGTCGAAATCAAGGCTTGAGGATCTTGACTTTTTGAAAGAGCCAGAGGAGGAGAAGGGGCCGCCTTTGAAATGGAGGGATCTTGTTGCGGAAGATCCGCTGCTGAGGGAGAAGAGCGTATGGAAGAATGTTGATTTTGGTGCTGAGAGCTCGGATGAGGAGGATGGCGGGTTTGAGGATAGCGGATCGGAGGTCTCGAGTTTGACGGATACTACGATCAAGTCAAGTGTTGACGATGAGATTGGTAGACGTCCTGAAGATCTCTTGGTTGATACTTTGGATAGGGAGGAATTGGAGAGAGTGTTGCAGGCTCAATTCTGGAAGAAGACTCCTAGTATCAACGGAGTTAAGCTCGAAACAGTAAAGACGCACATCACGGAGCTTCAGGCGATCCGCGAAGTCCTGTTCATGCTCTCGGGGTTTCCAAGTTCTCTATTCGAAATGGATTCGGCGAAGCCAGCAGTCGTTACGCCTGCCAAGAGGTATGCTCTGAAGCACGCTTCTATGGATGCATTCCAACAGCTGGCGAACGATTTTGCCGATCAAGGTTCGGCTCTCATGATTCTACGGTCTTGGGCAAAACGGCCACAGAGCATCCCATTACTGCAAGTTCTACAGAATTCCATTGCGGAACGAGTATGGGCTTTTGAGGCTTCATTGTCCAAGATCCAGCAGCAGTTCGTGGCACCCACTGAGGATATTGTTGTCAGCCTTATCAGTGTGAAGACAGAGGTTACTTCATGTGTACGACCCCTAATTCGATTATCACATATCATCAAACGACTAGATAGTGAGCCATATTCGCACGCTTTTCGATACCTGGAGATGTTATATGACGAGACTTGCACATCCCAAATGGCCGGGGACGACGAGATGTACGCTTTCATGGGGAAGATATTCTTTGAATGTTTTGAGGTATATCTACGGCCAATCAGGACTTGGATGGAAGAAGGAGAATTGGGGAAATCGGATAAGGTCTTCTTTGTTTCCGAAGTGGTCGGCGAGGTCGAGCCGGCATCAGTCTGGCAGTCCCGCTACAAGATCCGTAAGACTCAAAATGGTGTACTCCATGCTCCAAGATTTCTTCATGCGGCAGCCAACAGGATCTTCACCACTGGGAAGAGCGTCGTGGTTCTCAAATACCTGAACCAGTTTGAGACATTACAATCCTTTCGAACTACCCTCGAACCTAGACTAGACTTTGACACTGTTTGCAATCCTTCGGAACTCCAGCTTGCGTCGTTCCCGGAGCTATTTGATGTAGCATTTGATGCTTGGGTTCAGAGTAAACACCACTACGCCTCACTCACCCTCCGAAAGACACTTTTCGACTCATGTGGTCTGCACACCTCACTTGATGCTCTGTCGTATCTCTATTTCATGGCCGACGGCACCACAGCGGCATCATTCACCAACTCCATCTTCGACAAACTTGACACCCTGGATGAATCCTGGAATGACCGCTTCACACTTACGGAGCTTGCGCAAAGCACATTTGGTTCCCTCTCGCCCATAAATCCCGACCGGCTTCGAACGTCAATCCTCTCTCTCCCTCAGAAATACCATGACGTCGCAAAGTGCAGGAGATCCGTTAAAACTCTAGGCGCCATTGAGATGAAATTCCATCTTACGTGGCCCATCCAGATCATCCTCACCCCAGCCACAATACCCTCTTACCAAAGGATTTTTACCTTCTTCCTGCAGATCCGGCGAACGTCCCACGTTCTCTCCCGGCAACGCCTCGTCACATTTCGTCCCTCCCAATCCAATCATGCCGATGAAGGTGTGTTGTACTACTCCCTCCGTAGCCGCCTCCTGTGGTTCACTTCCACGCTCTACTACTACCTTACCTCCCTCGTCGTCGAACCCAACACACAAGCCATGCTCTCCCAACTCAAAGAAGCTGCAGACGTAGACAGCATGATCGGGGTCCATTCCTCATATATAAAATCCACAGTGGAGCAGGCGTTACTAGGAAGCAAACTAGAACTAATCCACAAGACCATCCTCAAAATTCTCGATCTGGGGATCAAGCTCGAAGACGCGCAAGCCGTGAATGTGGTTCGGGAGCGCGAGGAGGAAGAACAGAGGCGGGAGATGCTCGATGTGAGCCTTGCATCTCTGGGTCTCCACACGCCTCAGAAGCCGAAACAAAAATCACCATTCGCATTCAAAACGCAAAGCAAAAAGAAGAATATGAAGATGGAAGAAAGCAGCGAGGATGAAGACGAAGATGAGAAGGAGATAGACGTAGACCTCTCGATCCTATCCTCGAACCTCGATGAGGGAGAAGAGCCATATACCGAGATACTGAGGAAGATCAAGAGGGATTTGGATGCCCATCTCCGGTTCGTGACGAATGGGTTGAGAGGCGTGGCCAGGGCGGGCGGGGCGGATCAGGCGCGGTGTTGGGATGTCCTTGCTGAGATGCTGGAGTCTGGGTTTGGGACAGGGCGCTGGTGAGATATATTTATGATTCCCGAGGCGCAGAGAGGAGGATCAAGAATTAGGGATCTTCGGCGGCTCCTTGGATGTACGTACAATAATAACACAAAGTAGCTTTGATGACAGGTGTGGGGAAGTCCCTCACCCTTCCAGCTCGTATCGTCTTATCTATCGTCCTGTGCATTCTCTTCATGACTCGTTCCTGATCAGGCATACTTATGCTCTGCTATGGCACAGGGCTTTCAAAGGTATAAGTCAATAGCAGGGACAATTGAATAGAGAGAGAACGAGAGAATGAGAGAAGAAGAGAAGAAAAAGTCCCAGATCAATAAGAGTCGTGGAGCAGAAGCCCAAGCGAATCGCGTGATAGCCACGAGAGATCCGCGCGGTGCATCGATCACATCACAACGGGCGCACGTGGGGCCAAGGAAAAGGAATTTCTCCGACGTCTGTGAGATTTAAGGTTCTGAGCCTCACGCATGTCTCTGAGCCTCTTTTTGGATTTGTTTCTTGATGCAGTAATTGACTTCAATTGCCCTTCCGCTCTTCTCCCTCTCTCAAGAGAAAGCCGTTCGGATTAGCCCGCCATAGATATTCTATTTATGGACCCCCCAACGTGGTGCTTTGTCATCGAGCACCGCTATCTCTTATCAAGGAAGCTCAATAATGGGAAAATGGGAATTTCTACTTCAACCTCCATCTTGTTGCTGATTCTGCCTCCTCTCCCTCTCTCCTCTTCTCTCTCCCTCTCTCTTCTCTCTCTCTCTGTTTTCTCTCCCTTCTATCTTCTCTCTTCTGTCTTCTCATCGCATCGTCATACCCTTATCGCTGCGCGAATCTCCGCCGGCCTTGGCGTAAATCATGGCAGACTTTGAATATGTATCCAGGTCCGATGCGACAACGACAACAGCTCTGCAGCCCCCCCGCGATTTCAGTTACCATTTCTCAAGGGTGACTTTGGCCAGGAAAGAGAGTCAGGTCAAGGAATTCTACAAGTATTTCCAGATTCCCGGGATTGGGAATCTTGCCGGTGGTACGTCTCCGCGATGCTAGAAGCGTGGTGAACGGCGAATACTGAATTCTCTTGCGCAGGCCTTCCAAATGCTTCTCTTTTCCCCTACGATACACTCGAGGCCCAGATTGCACAGCCAGAACGGTTCGAACCCACTCCCAACGACCCCAATTCCCTCTCCGAGAAACTTGCTTCAACCTCCCTCAAGACGCCTGATACCAGCGCCTCTGCCCATCTGACCATCCCCCATCTCTCCGGTATCAAGAACCCGCTCCAGAAAATCGATCTGACCACCGCGCTGCAATATGGGACTGCACAGGGTTACCCGCCCTTATATTCCTTCCTGCGCCAATTCACACGCGAGAACCTCCAGGTCAACGTGCCGTATCTCGGCGGGCCGGAAATCATCCTCACGTGTGGGAACACGGATGGATTTTCCAAGACGATTGAAGCCTTCACTAACCCGTGGAGTGAGGAGCGCGATTGGATCCGGGAGAGACCGGCCATCTTGTGCGAGGAATTCACGTTTATGAACGCCCTGCAAGCGGCGACACCTCGCGGAGTCCAAGTTGTACCAGTGAAGGTCGATCTGGAGGGCATGCTTCCTGGTGGACCAGGTGGCTTAGAGGATGTCTTGGAGAACTGGGATGAGAGTAAGGGCAAGCGACCACATCTTATGTATACCATAACGTGCGCACCCCTTCCATCTATCGATCTTATACCTACTAATGAGATGTAGAATCGGCCAAAACCCCACAGGTGGAACTCTCTCTGTCCAACGCCGCAAGGAGATCTACGATATCTGTAGCAAATACGATGTCATGATCATCGAGGACGACCCCTACTGGTACTTACAATTCCCTTCTGCCCCCACTCTAGAAGCTTCAGCCCGCGGTCTCCCCCCGCCAACAACCTCAGCACACACATTCGATAAGTCCTCTGGATTCCCCTTCCTCGACAGTCTAGTACCCTCCTATCTAAACGTCGACACCGAAGGTCGCGTGATCCGGCTCGACACCTTCTCCAAGACCGTCGCGCCCGGCTGCCGTCTCGGCTGGATCACCGCACAACCCGCGATCATCGAGCGCATCCTCCGCATCACTGAGACCTCGACCCAGCAGCCATCCGGCTTCGTCCAATCCATGATCGCCGAACTAATCATGGGCCCCCAACCCTCCGCGACCCGAGCACAGTTCGCAAGCCGGTCCAAAGCCAGCCAGCCCACCTTCACCGGCTGGAAAGTCGACGGCTGGGTGCGCTGGCTCGAGGGTCTCCGCGGCGTGTACGAGCGCCGCATGACGCGCATGTGCACGATCCTCGAAGCCGGCCGCCACCAGCTCAAGCAAGGCACGCCGCTCAAAGCCAGCGAGAGCGAATGGGCGGTGATCTCCAAGACCACCATGTACAGCTTCGCGTGGCCGCGCGGCGGCATGTTCCTGTGGGTGCGCATGCACTTCGACACGCACCCGCTCGCGCGCTGCATGCCGGGCCCGCGCCTCGCCAACGCGCTCTTCCTCTTCATGACGCTGAAACCGCACCTGGTGCTCGTCTCGCCGGGTCCCATGTACAGCTCGACGGACCAGGTGCGCGACGAGCGCGGCTGGCAGTACTTCCGCTTGTGCTTCGCGGCCGAGACGGAAGAGGAGGTGGATGCCTCGTCGACGCGGTTCGCGGCCGCGGTCGCCAAGTTCTGGGAGATTAGGGATAGGCGCGATATTGAGGATATCGAGACGTTGGGTGGGGTTGAGGGGGTGCAGGCTAGGCAGGGCTTGGGGATGGGTATGGGGTGGGGGTGTTAGATTGGATTGGTGCTTTTTCCCCCTTTTTCTTTGGTTCTTTTTAAGAGGGTTTCTTAATTTATTCATTTACTTATATGCCGGTAGGGGAATAAACAGTATTGCTTTCCTTCTTGATATTGGTCATTGAACTCTTTCTTCGTACCTTACTTACCTTACCTTACTCACCAATCCACCCATCACAAAATCACAAATCACTCATATATCTCCCACAACATAGAGAAAATCATCGTTGTATTTCATTATGCATGTGCCCGATAAAGTGGGAATGCACACCCTTTAGTACCTAGCCCCTTATGATCCATCCATCCCATTCATATCCCATCCCATCCATCCTTCCATTCATCCATTCATTGCTCGTAATAGCATTCATCCTTTCCTTGTATGTCTGGAGATTCGAAGATAGGAAGCCAGGGAATCGTATCGTATCGTAAAAAACCGCAAAAGTAAAGGAAAGAAAAGCCATCTTCGGTATCGACGCCAGTCAATCAATCAATTAGTCATCTGAGAGAGAGAAATTGAGAATCGAAAGGGCGAGGCGAGATGGAAGCTAAATCCGGAGCATGTTGGTTAGACAGTTTCAGTTAAGGAAAGGGATTATGAGGAAAAGATAGGTGGGGAGGCAAGCAAGCATACCAGAAATGCCATACGACAGACATCTAAGCCTCATCCGCATCCTCGTAGATATCCTGATCCTCATCCTGGTCTTCAACATATGAATGACCGAAGCCACGAGAGAATCCCTGACCGTTCTCCATCCCGTTGAACGACATCTGGGGCTTAGCCTCCTTCTTCACGATCTGGACCTCGTCATCGTCGTTGTTGTCAATGTCGGTGAAGGAAGAGAGCATGTTGCGATCATCCTTCTGCTGCTTCTTGACCACGCGACCGTTCTTTACCTTGTTCAAGGGGGTCTTGGTCTTGGACGGGGTCGAGAAGTTGAAGTCTTCGTCGTCGTCTTCGTTGGATCCCGTGTACTGCTCGACCTTCTTCTTGCTAGGAGTACGCTTGCGAGGGGTTGATTTGGCGCTTCCGTCTCCTGCTCCTCCTGTGGCACGGTTATTATTATTATTCAGATTCCAGGACTCTTCTCGTTTCATTCGGACGATGCGCTCGCTCACTGCCTTACCTGTGACGCCTTGGCCATATTGACCTGCGATGGCTGCGAGAAAGTTAGCCAGGGTTCTTGGGAGGATCTGTATGGTTGATGAATGGGGGGGATTGAAGGAAATAATATTTAGAAATGGAAATTGATAAGGAGAGAAATTAAATGCGAGAGGGGGATTCTGTCTGAGGAGATCATGGATCAGCTCGTATGGCTGTAGCATCAGATAAGAGCAGTGAGTGTCAATGATCCAAATGAAGGGCAACAGTCGGAACTATCAACATGATGCCTCGACACGGGGTGCTTGAGCTGCTCATGTTCTGTGAAGAGAGAGAGAGAAGAACAAAGCTCTGCACTGCAGAGAATCTCACATCCACCCTTTCTCAAAGCGACCCCATCAGCAACGATCGATCGGAATCGATGCTGGAGAGAATCTCGAGTTCCATCTGGATAGTAAGATGCGATAGCTACTGTCACGTTAACTCGTCGACCACCAACATGAGATGCTTGTGCTGAATTGTGCTGGAGGTAGAGAAAGGAAATAAGCTCTACATTGACCACCCTTAGCACTTGCGTCCTCTCCCTTGCCAGCACCAATACCAAGAGTCTGAGGGTCTCCACCGGAATCGGCACATTGCTTCTGACTCTTGGCATACTGCTTGATTTGGCGGAACTGGAAGCCTATGCCACCGGGAGTGCTGTCCTTTCCAAAGTACTTGGACATGTCTGCGGAGAACATTAACATGGTAGCTCTTAATAGTGCGCCAGTGCGATGAATGTGCAAGGAAAACTGCAAGGAAAAATGTGCGGTGCAGAAGAAAAAGAGACGCCAGTCTTCTGACCCTTCATGCCCCTGGCATTGGCAGTAAGATCTACATCCTTGGGATCGGCGCCTGACTTCAGAGCCTCAAGCTGAAGTTTGCCAATTGGTCTGAGGCGGGTGTAGACCTGGCCCTCGACACTTCTGGCAGTGACATCACTTCCCATTGTACGGGCAATTGCTGGAGTAACATTAACATCACGACCCAATCTTTGCTATAAATGAAGACGCGTTGCGTGAAACAAGATTCAAAGACCATCGTCCTTTACAAGGACCAGATTGGAAATAGGTGCCATAAAAGATCCAAGTACTGCTGGACTTCTGAAGGCAATAAATGCGAAAATGTGTTCGGGTTTAGAAAACGCAATGAAAGAAAATGTGCTGCGCAAGTACCCCTAGACTTGAAGACTCTATCAAGATCAAGGTCTTTCGGATCACCCCCGTCAATGACGGTCTTCTGAAGAAGCTTGACTTTTGGCGTAAGGTGACGAGTGACATATGCCTGAAGACCGCCCACAGTGGTGTCACTCCCAAAATATTGTTGGACTGCTGCAGAACATCAATATGGGCATGAGTTTGATGAGAATTAATATAAGGAAAACGTGCTGTGCAAGCGAGTAAAACTGCAAAGCGTCTAACCCTTTCCACCTCTGTTACGCTCTTCCTTCTTGGAAACACCCTCTAGGTTGAGGAACTGCGGATCCTTGCCAGCTGCAATTGTCTCGCGGATAAGGTTGACCTTAGGAATGACGTTGCGCTGAAAATAAATACGGAGAGCTCCAGAAGTGGTATCATTTCCCACGCATTTTTGAAAGGCTGTCCCAGAACATTAATAAGTACTTCAAACCAATGAACTGGATCAGAGCCTGAAGAAATACGAAATTCAATCTGTGTAGGGATGCTCAAGGATAAATCATCCGGTCTCTCCGTCTTTCATCTCCACCAGAGTGCTAGGGGTATCGGGAGAGATGAAGAATTGAGAGACGTGATGGCGCTTGCTCACGAGTACAAAACCATTGATCTAGCTCATGTTGTTCTAGACAGGGTGGCACTTCACACCGCCGTCGTAGATCCTGTCGGCTTTGGCCAGAATTATAGCGAAAGATGTGAACAACGAGAAAGTTCAAAAAATCAAACTGGATAAACTGTAGTGTTGTGCTTATGCGTGCCTAATGAAAAAAGCGAGGCTATGGCCATGACTACCTTTTCCCTTTGGCTGGCCCGTTTGAGCTGGAGCCTCTACCAAGTTAACAGTGAGAGGATCAAGTCCAGCATCACATGCTTCATTGATCAACTTGGCATTCTTGTTAATCTGGTTCATTCTGCCCCAGACGGCCTTGTAAGTTGTTCCGCCGCCATATTTCTTGCCCACTTCTGCGAGATAATCAGGGATAACCCCACATTCGAGAAATTATGGTAGAAGTAAAAAGGTCAAGTAGACAGTAAAACAGCGGCGCGATGCATAGAGTTTGAGAGCAAGGAATTCTATTTGCTTACCGTCATAGTTCAGCTTGAGGTCGGGGTGAGCGGCGATGATGGCGGACAGGAGGCGGACTGAAGACTCGTAACTCTTCCAATTAGGCATTTTGGCAGCTTATTATTTCTGGAGCAAAGAACAGTGTCAGTAGATGAGCTACAAACTTTCTCAAAACCAGGATATCAGACCCCGAAGAAAAAGTGAGTGAGAACTGTCCAGAGCTCGAGTTTCTTCAGATATCTCAGGGCCTACACGCTTGTTGGTGAACCTTCAGAATAGAAGGTGTACTTCCAAAAAGGATGAGGACTGGTTGAAGTGTTATGATGGTCGATGTAAATAAAGAAGAAAAGCAGGATGTGGATGTGGAGGTAGAGAGACCGAGAGCCTTCTTGAAGATGAAATGGAATGGAAGGTGCCTGAATTGTGAAGCAGAGAGAGAAAATATGATCGAAGAATGTTCAAAAGTAGAAGGATAAATAGAGGCTTACATTGTCAGTTAGTGTGAGTGTTGAAGTGTGGTAGATCGATCAAAAAGATCGATGGTCAGAGCTGCGAAGAAGGTCAGCGAGGAGTTCAAGTTGAATAATGATTGTTGGGTAAAGAAATGTACTTGAAGAGGATAAACAGTATTGCCTTGAGAGATGGCTGTGCGGATGTTGTTGCGGATGTTGTTGTTGGTCGCGCTGGAGGAGGAGGGTGGAAGTGGGAGGAAGACTTGGATCGAGGAGGAGCCTTAAATACTTATTCTCGAGCCGGCAGCCGAGAAGAAATAGCGAGAGAGGAGTGCAACTCGGTAAGAGGAAGCAGGAGCTGAGAGAATGAAATCGTAGAGACGAGTGAATTGCTGTTCTTTCTTGTGAGGGTCAGGGGGAAATCTGATAGTCACGTGATGAATGCAAGAGCTTTGCTTCGCCCTCATTCCATGATATCTCGGCTGGTGTGGTTCTTTTAACTTTCCACACTTGTATATGGATCCCACGGATTCATTTGAACCTATTTTGGAGCCCGTAGATGGTGGTGTTGTTCTTCTGTGCCTGGATACACCATTTTGGCTTTATCTTGTCGTTCACATAGAGCCACTGCAATGTACTCGGCTCTAAGAGAGGGTGCCGATCCACACCACCGTCAACTGCAGCATCATGCAGCGCACCGCCTCTTGACTCTTGGGCCTGTTACTTCTGCTGGTCACAACGCCTTCAATTCACTTGTTATCTCATTTGTTTGCTTCCTGCATCTCGATCTACCAATGTGGTCTCTTTTCTCCTCTCCAATCTGCTGCCCCGGCAAGTAAGGATATCAAATCCTCGAGCCTCGCCCGGTGGGCGCCTGCATCGCTGGATCGAGGGACTCCGGAAGTTTGGAACTTTCTGTCCGTATCGCTTTTCAGATGTGGTCTTTCGAGAGCTTGATTCTTCCTTGTAGACGCCTCTCTGCAGAGACCTGCACGGGAAACCCTCTGACCTCTCTGGAACTGCGTCCCAACCCGGGCCACCTTTCCATTCCCATTCCCCTTGGTCTGAGAAGCTTCTACATCTGCGATCATGAAGCGGCGTCCCTGTCACCATTCAAACTTTCCTTCATCTAATTCATTCCATCATCTACCCTAATCTACCTTCCTTTTCCAATCCTGGCGTTCTCCTCCCCAGATCAAGCGCATTTCCAAATCCCAATCCATGTCCATTCCCCCTCATCTCCACCGCCGGACTCATATGTTCCTTGATGACCGCGGCCCCAGCTGCCGGTCCATTCCCGTAAACGAAATACTGCCCTCCCAGAAAGAAATCGCAGCACATCTGGAAGATACCACACAGCTTAAAAGACCATGGAATCTCAGTCGTGGCCGTAAAGAACCAGAACATTTTCATAACATCACCGGCGATCCAGCTTGCCAGAACAGAGACACGGAAGCCTTTACATGAGCGGGAACGCGCGTTCGAGAGGATCTGGGGGATGGGGAGCGTTGCCTCAATGCCGAGTCCGACATAACCAATCAGGGATGAGTAGCTTTTGTATAGGCCTGGGAGTGGGGAAAGGACGAGTTCAAAAGCGACGAGAGTGATGAAGAGGTAGAGGAGGAATTGCCAGTATCTGTAGATAGCAGTGTCAGAAGCTGAGTTGGTTTGGAAGTACTGTGAGACATACGGTTTTGGAGATCGCCATTGCCAGAAATTGTACGGTCTCTTCATACCAATATCCCCGTCTCTACCAGCAGCAAAGGGGACGGAAGATGAGGGTGACGGCCGATGATCAAGCGCGACTCTGAGGAGGACAGTTTGAATAGCGATCATGATAAAGGATTGTATGAGGAGAGAGGTATCGAATTTTGCACCAGGGTAGTAAAACACTCTGTGGGCAAACTCAATTGTTAGCCTTGAATTCTGACCCTATTCTAGGGGACGTTGGATAGAGCGAATGGGGGACAGGAACCTACCGGAGCAGAGAGGCGACCAGCATAATCAATGGGATATCTAGTGAGAAACCAGCACTGGACTTTGTGCGGTGGATGGAGTATATCTGGTCCGCATATGAGGTTATAGGGGAGATTATGATGAATAGGGGAGCTACAAAGCCCGCGATCAAGGATAAAAGACCCATGTCGCCAGAATCTGGCTGGAGAGGATGGTGAAGGCGGCAGATGAAGTGCGTCTAGAATGCGTCTAAGTATGTGCACACATGTACAAGAAAACGAGAGTAATCCTTCAATGTGAAGGGGTTGATGTCAAAAAGGAGGAATGTTCCAAAGCCAAAAACACATCGACCGGGAAATAATGGTAAACCGCGTGAATACCTCCTTGGGACTAGACCGAGATAAGCGGGCCGACCATTAATCCGGAAGTGTGGCTAAGTGGGGTCCCAAAAATAATTTGTGCTTCGCCCCGCCATGTCATCCTCACCACATCAACCTCATCGTCAACAATATATCAATCGCCATCTCACCGCGAGACTCTGGCAAGATCCTTTCTTTCCTAGATCTTTTGTCCCGCCTCACGCGATTCCATAGAATTGGAGCGGTGAGTAGCCGAACTCGGGATTTCTCTCCCTGCGAACATCCGCATATGGCGCGGGAGTAACAAACCACCTTTTTCTGTCTATTTGACGACCGAGGCAGCTCGGCGGGAAATTGAAGTTCTCTTCAATCATTGAACCAAGCAGGAAGCTTTATTCACGCCCTTTATTTACGCCCATCATGGAGTATCTGACCTCTCCCGGAGATTCCTGTTTTACGCTACCCGAGGCAAAGAAGCTCGCGGGTCGCATCAGGAAGCTGGGATACAAAGTCAACGAGATTCGTGGAGTTTGGATTCATTATACGCATCTGAAGCAGTCATCACAGCATACTCCCGAGGTGAGCAGATCTGTCCCTTTGGTTATGTTGAAAATAAGGTCGAAGTCGAGAACCCCTCGTTTCACGTGACCTGTATCACCTCCTCATGACTGCTTTACGTTCTGGTGCGCTGACAGCCCTCAAAGAGCACAGAGCAGAAGCTCAACCAACTTCTCCCTGGAGTCTTGACTTCGGATGCAAAATCAATCTTGGCAACACAACCAGGGAGCCTCTCCCAAATCTACTATATCACTCCTCGAAATATCTCACCATGGAGTTCGAAAGCGACTAGTATCGCCCATGTCTGTGGTTTGAAGGAACAGGTCCATCGAATTGAGAGGGGCCGCGCCGTCCTGGTCAACTTCGTAGAGCCTGTAGAAAGCGACGATACCTTGTTTAGAGATGTCATCTACGATCGGATGACCGAAAATATCAGCACCGCCGAGCCTGATCTGACTCAGATGTTTGCAGAAGGAACACCCTTCCCATTAGAGGTTATTGATCTATGGGCCGAAGGATCCACTCCCCTCGAGGTCCTGAAGCTGTACAACACGAAGCGCGGTCTCGCACTGGACCGTCTTGAGATGGAGTACCTGGTCCAAGCTTATACTCAATTGGGTCGACCTCCTTATGATATCGAATTATTCATGTTTGCACAAGTCAACTCCGAGCATTGTCGGCATAAGCAATTCAATGCAAATTGGACGATTGATGGCTTAGGAATGGGCCAGAGTCTTTTTGACATGATTCGTAACACTCACAAGCAAAACCCAGCCTATACCGTGTCTGCCTACAGTGACAATGCGGCTGTTCTTCAGGGAGAGATGGCAAGCTTCTGGGCACCTGACTATTCTACGGGAAGCTGGAGACAGACGAAGGAGAAGGTTCATTTCCTCGCAAAAGTGGAAACACATAACCACCCAACTGCCATCTCCCCGTTCCCCGGAGCTGCAACTGGCTCAGGTGGAGAAATCAGAGACGAAGGTGCTGTAGGGAGAGGTTCCACTCCAAAAGCTGGACTTTGCGGTTTCTGGGTCTCGGACCTTTTGATCCCGGACCACAAGGAGCCTTGGGAGATTGATATAGGTAAGCCGGCGCACTACGCAAGCAGTCTGGATATTATGCTTGAAGCACCTATTGGTAGTGCGAGATTCAACAACGAATTCGGTCGGCCATGTTTGACGGGCTGCTTCCGAACACTTTTGGTTGACACGGATGCTGGGAGCGACGGCCGGGAGATCCGTGGATATCACAAGCCCATTATGATTGCCGGTGGAGTCGGCACTGTTAGACCACAGCACGCAATTAAAGATGGACGTGATGTCAAAGATGGTGCTCATGTCATTGTCCTTGGTGGCCCAGCAATGCTGATAGGTCTTGGTGGTGGTGCTGCCTCAAGCAATGCATCTGGTGAAGGATCCGTCGAGCTTGATTTTGATAGTGTCCAGAGGGGCAACCCTGAGATGGAAAGACGAGCACAGATGGTTATCAATGCTTGTGTTGCTTTGGGGGAAAACAATCCCATTGCTTTCATTCATGATGTGGGAGCTGGAGGGCTGTCCAATGCTTTGCCCGAGCTTGTCAAAGATGCTGGATATGGAGGAAACTTTGAGCTCAGACAGGTTGAGAGTGCGGACAGCAGTATGAGTCCTCTACAGATATGGTGTTGCGAGGCTCAAGAACGTTACGTGATCATTGTCAATCAGGAGGGGTTGAACAGATTCGTCAGTATTGCGAGTGAGTGCTACCAGACTCCCATTATATTTATGAACGTACTAATGCAATACAGATCGCGAACGCTGTGGGTTCTCCGATGTGGGAGTAGTCCGTGCTAAAACAAGTGACGGTATGTCGAGACTGATCGTAACCGATCGGGACTCCAAAGAATACCCAGTGCCGATCGACCTACCTATGTCGACCCTATTCCCAAAGGACCGCAAGCTGGACCGAATTGTCAAGTCGAGAAAACTCAAACTTACGCCATTTGACGCGCTGAAATCTCTGCAAGACAGTTATCCCCAGATTCCGGAGCATGATCTCCTACGGAAGGCCATTGAGAGAGTTCTTACACTACCCGCTGTTGGGTCCAAATCTTTCCTCATCACGATTGGAGATCGATCAGTTGGGGGCATGACAGTCCGGGATCAGATGGTCGGTCCTTGGCAAACACCTGTGGCCGATGTAGCCGTTACCGCCACTGCATTGAATATTGGAGACAAGATCAAGACTGGAGAGGCCATGAGCATGGGTGAAAAGCCAACCTTGGCTCTTATCTCACCAGCAGCTTCAGCCAGAATGGCAGTAGCTGAGAGCTTGATGAATTTGGCTGCTGCACATGTTCTTGGAGACCTTCCTCGCGTCCGGTTATCAGCGAATTGGATGTCAGCTGTCAACCATCCTGGTGAAGGTGCTGCCTTGTACGAAGCAGTGTTTGCCATAGGCATGGAGCTATGCCCCAGGCTTGGAATCAGCATCCCAGTCGGTAAAGACTCGATGTCGATGAAAGCCACGTGGAAAGATCAGAAATCTGGAGAAGCTAAGGCGGTCACCTCTCCACTGTCGGTTGTAATTTCGGCCTTTGCACCTGTTGCCAATGTTCGGAGTACATGGACACCGACACTTCGTAGACTCGAGGACGTCGGCGAAACAATCTTGATGTACGTTGACCTCGCTCAAGGACACAAGGCCTTGGGAGGTTCAGCACTCGCACAGGTATTTGGACAGCTTGGGGACGAAGCCCCAGATGTCAGAGACCCTGATCTCCTGATCGATTACTACGATGCGATAATTCAATTACATCAAACCGGCGTTGTGCTCGCGTATCACGATATATCAGATGGTGGTCTACTGACTACGATCGCGGAGATGATGTTTGCAGGTCGATGCGGAGCCGAGATCATGCTTGATGGTATTTCGAAGAGCTCCTCCCCATCTCATATACTCGAGACGCTCTTCAACGAAGAGCTTGGCGCCGTCTTCCAAGTGCGTAAATCTGATGAGGTCAATTTCCTTCGCTGCTTCGCAACCTGTGGCCCACCACCTGGCATGATTCGCAAGATTGGTCGTGTACCTGCGGCCTCCAAACAGCAACTCTCAATTCGTTATGGTCAAACCCCAATCCTGCGCATGGACCGCTCAGAATTGCAGCAACTTTGGTCTACCACCTCTCATCAAATGCAACGCTTACGAGACAACGTGGGATGTGCTGATGCTGAATTTGAAAACATTCTGGACAACCACGACCCCGGATTACATTACAAGCTGACCTTCGACCCTAAAGATAACATCTTCCCATTCATGAGCTCAATAACTAGCACCTTCGCCAAGGCACCCCGCGTCGCGATCTTACGTGAACAAGGTGTAAACGGCCACGCTGAAATGGCATACGCCTTCAAAGTGGCAGGTTTTGACCCCATCGACGTGCACATGACTGACATCATCGGTGGACGCACGCTGTCTGACTTTGTTGGCATCGCAGCATGTGGTGGCTTCTCGTACGGCGATGTACTGGGTGCCGGCCAAGGCTGGGCTAAATCGATTTTGATGCATGAGGAAAACGCGAGACCCGAATTCCAGCGCTTCTTCGCTCGTCCTGATACCTTCGCGCTCGGTGTTTGCAACGGATGCCAAATGCTTACCCGAATCGCAGAGCTTATCCCGGGCACTAGTCATTGGCCTCTCTTCCTCGAGAACAAGTCTCAGCAATTTGAAGCCCGCGTCTCCATGGTACGCATCCAAGACAACTCCAAGTCTCCGTCCGTATTCTTGCACGGCATGAACGGCTCAGCACTCCCCATCGCGGTCTCGCATGGCGAGGGACGTGCTTCCTTCCGCAGCCAGCAAGATTTGGATGCCATGAATGCAGATGGACTCATTCCAATTCGGTATGTGGAGAATAGGGGAGGTGTCACCACCCGGTATCCATTCAATCCAAATGGCAGTCCCGAGGGAATAGCAGGTGTACGAAGTTTGGATGGCAGGGTCTTGGCACTGATGCCTCACCCCGAGAGAACCATCATGGCAGATGTGGGAAGTTACATTCCGCCCGGGAAGCAGGAGGAGTGGGGCGAGTACGGCCCATGGGTCCGCATGTTCCGAAGTGCAAGGCGCTGGGTTGGATGATGGTTGGACGCGCAGAAGAACCGAAAAATAGGGGAGTTTATGCAGGCGTTTTTGGGGGTATTTGTTTTGTACAGACGTGGAACTTTTTGATAGATACCGTATAAAGGGGCAATCTCTTCTTTGAACCCCTGGCTTCTTGGACCGGGGGTGGCAAGCTTGCCCCTCTATAAGCTTGCCCCTCTTTAAGCTTACCCCTCTATACGGAATTCAACGCTTATCATATCAAACTACTACACTTTACCTAACTAGCTGAATCCAACAAATCCTTGAGGCTCTCCGAAGTCGGCAACACGGCATCACTTAGTGTCTGCTAACGGGGTTCACAGTAGTAAGACTGTTGGCCGAATTTGATAATAGTGTCTGTGATATATAAGCAGTTAAACCCAGGATTTTCCGTTCGTGCGTCAATTTAGCGTTTGGTGCCTTGAAAATGTATAAGCACTTTAAACTAAACTACACCTCTGCCGATCAGCTTGTTTACAGACTTTCAGCTACCTCGTCATGATTCTCATGCAATTCAAAGCTCAAGAGATGATTTCCCGTTAGGTACTCATATATTTAACTATTTAATATATATATATATCTACTTAGATATGCTTGTTGGCCCATTTGCCAACGAAGGAGATCAAAGCATTGTCAACGGCCTCGGGCTTGTCAGCAGACAAGAAGTGAGTGCCGTCCTTGACAATCACGAGCTCGGCCGACTTGGAGTTCTTGAAGAGCTTGATCTCCTCCTGTGCGTTAGCAATACTGTACACGACGTCGTTGGTGCCGTGGAGCCACAAGACGGGGCAGGTAATGTCGAAGAGACGAGCGTGCAGTCCATCTCTGTCGCGGAGGTTGATGGCCGCCATTCTGGCGCGCAGTCTTCCGTCATTGCCGCGGTAGTTGGACTTGATGATCTTCCTCCAGTGCTCGCGCACCGCGGGGTCGACGTCCTTTCCAAGTCCAATGTCGACGAGGAAGTCGCAGAAGGCAGTGGGCGCCTCGAAGTCAGGCGTGTTCTCAGTCGTCGTGAAGGCGTCAATGGTCGGGGTGACGTCGCGGATGCAGTCCCAGCAGCCCAGCTTGACCGTGCGCTCAGACTCGTAGTCCATGGAGGTTCCGAGAGGGATGATACCCTCGATCTTCTCGGGGGCGAGGAGGGCCATGCGTGCGGTGATCCAGCCACCTTGGCTAGTGCCGAGCACGAAGGCCTTCTTGATGCCGAGCGCCTCCATCACTTGGAGGTTCATCTCAGCAGTGTGCCAGTAGGTCCAGCTGGGGCTGACGGTGCGGGTGTTGCCATGTCCGAGGAGCTCGATGGCCAATAGGTTCATGGCATCAGTCAACTGCTTGTTCTTGTATTGCCTGGCGTACAGCTCGACGCTGGTGACGAAGGCATTGACGAGGATCAGGGTGGGCTTGGAGGGGTCGTAGGGGTAGGGCATGTGGTAACTGGAATCATTGAGTTGATCAGATCGGGCTTTACATCATCAAATTCGAGCTCTGATGGAGGACTTACCCGGCATCCGTTCCACCGAGGAGGGGGACGCGAACGGTCTTTGAGATGGTGATTTCCGCCATTGTTAGAGTCTTGCCGCAGCTGGAACTGGGTATTCTGTGGGAGGAGGAAGTTGGGAGGTGTTTGATTGTAAAGTTTCTGTAAGTTCGTGCACTGCAATTTATGTTATTCGGTGGTGGGGGGACGGGGAGGGGAAGGAGGGGCAATTCAGAGCAGCAGCTCCTAGCTCGCAGTCCCGCTTTGGAAAAGATCTTATAATCTACCTTATACTGGAAAATAGACCGATGTTTTGCCGAAAAACAGGGATAAAACCCCCTGTAAAACATAGGTATTTCTCTTAATTCTCATTAGTTCGCTACCCTATTCGCCGCCTTAGGCCTCTACACGCGCTATACGCGTTCTCTTACCTACCTACCTACCTATATTCTTATTCTTTATTTAACGCGCATCCTCCCTCTTACCTCTTCCTTACTCTATACGGATCCTTCTGTTTCGTCCGTTTCGATCCGCTCTCTACCTGCTACTTAGCTGTTCTACTTTAATTCGGCGGCCTCTAACGCGATAGAATCCCCTACGCCATCCCCTACGCCATCCCCTCCTATTTGGTGCCAGACCTGTGACAAGCTCCGTCCTGCTGTCGACTTCGCTATTAATAGGAACAGGGCCTGTTACAAGAAGTGTTTTCGGTACAAGGTATGTGGTTATAGCTTTCTATAGCAAAGCTAACCTTTCTATTACTATATAGGATCGCGTAGAGCGGACTATACTCGAAGATCTTAATCCTAATACTAACAAGGCGCGCCTAACCCGTTAAACCACTGCCCGGCTAGCCTCTAAGGCCGAGCTTGTAAGTGCCCTTACTCTAAAACAAGGACGCTACCGCTAAGGCGCTATAATACACTTGCCTATAGTGTCTATACCTCTACGGCCGCCTAGACGTCCTCTTAGTACAGACGTACCTATACCTCTACGCCTCTCTAGACGCCCTTATATAGACGTACTTATACCTCTATAGCGGTAGGGCCGCCCTTGCCGAGATCTTATAGACACTACTCTAACCTATAGAGGTTTTATAGTATATAAAGACCTTGTTTCTAGACTGTCTCTAAGTCTATAAGACACTATTATAACTAATATCCTATACTCACGGCTTCTTACAGACCTATAATCCTCTAAGTTCTACGACCCGAACTTTACGCTACTATTAGACTCTAAGCTCTACCTTTACGACCCCTAACTCTCTTCTAATCTCTCTAATCCTTTCTTAACCTTATAGTCCCTAGTTATATACCTCTTGTAACGGTCTAGTAGTAGTCTATAACTGTCTGTACCTAAAGACAATCCTATACCTAGTAGATACCTAGTAGCGTTCTTGTCCTACTTTAACACTATAGTAGAGGCCTATAATTTAGGCTATATAACAGACGTCTGTTATTACTGTCACGCTTTATAGTAGGTTAACAAGGGTATTTTATACTACCTTAACAAGAAGGTAGAGCTCCTACGTATTATAGACCTACCGCGCTTTCTATAGAGGCTCTTAGATAGGACAGATACCTATAGCCAGGACTTTGTAAGAAGTATATAAGCGTATAACTTAGTACTTATACTTACCTCCTATAATTTTAAGAAAGACACTTGTTTTAATACTATATAGGGCATCTACGTCTTCTTTATCTATAGTAAGCTTTACTACGGCTAAGGCCTGTTAGAGCCGCTACTAGGCAAAACCCCTACCTTTACCTAGCTGTTTATTTACGACCCGGATTATACTAACTCTGTTTAGCTATAGAGGTTTACGGGTTTAAACCCTAAGGTCCTTTACAAGCTTTTAGAATAGCTTTATAACAATAATTATTTTATAAAGCTATATAAGACAGCTAGTAAGCGGCTCTATAAATAGTAAGGCGATTTCTAGGTACTATTAAATCTATAAATACAGCTAGTTCTAGAGAAGGGTATAGACTATCGTAGGTATAACCTGCCTACTACTAGTAACAAGCTAGTAGCTATTATTACGTACAAAACGATAGAAGAAACGCGCTATAATATCCTCCTTATAGTTTATAACCTAAGTAAGAACGGCCGCGCTATTTAGTAGATTAATCTTACAACTATAGCGTACATACCTCTTTACTACGTTCTTCTCTTTCTATATAGAGACTACAGCTAGTACTATAGGTTAACTCTCTATAACTAGAACAGTACCTATTAGTAGACCTGTCTATAATAGCGCTAGTACTATTAGTACTGTCTTATAGCCTGTAAATAGTAGTTTTTAATCCTCTACTACTTTAGACGCCTGTTTTAGTAATATTGTATTAATAGTTACGTCTATTACAAGTATACTAATCTCGACTAGATTAAACAGAACTAGCCTAAGATACAGGCTAATCTCTACTAGGGCTTAGTTAATATAATAATCTATAAGGATATTAGCCTTAACAAGCTTGGCCGTAAGATCGTCCTCTCGGCTACTTATATAGGTAGTAATAAAAGTATGTAATAGTAGTTTTAGGATTTAATAGCTATTGTCTGTTACTTTAGTAAGCCAACCCTTTTTATTACTTTTACAGTAAACCCGGACTAGCTAGAGATTAGGGAACAGCTATTACAAGGCTAGAGTACTAGTGATCGGCCTAATATAGTAGTCTATATCTTTTACTAGAAGGTTAATAAGCTATTAAAGGACGTCTATAAGGGTGTTTTTAGGCCTTATAGTACTTACGTATACACGATTAAGTACTAGAAACACGGCCTACTATATATATACCTGTTGTTATTCCTTAGGGTACGTACGGATTACCTTACCCCTAATCAGATTAATTAAATCGTCTATACTAAGCTCTTAGACCCTTTGTAAGACCTAACAGGTAAGTTAGTAAGCGTTGTTACGGTTTAGATAGCCTACGGCCCTTATAAGGATAATAATCCTAATAGTCCTTATATATAGAGTATAACGCCTAACGGCCTAAAAAAGTACTTAAAGTACTTTCTAAAGGCTTTTATAGAACAGACAATCGTCTAAGAGGATTTGTACCCTAAATACTAACGCTAGGACAACAGGCACAAGTTTATAGTCCCTAAACCGGGCTACCCTAGAGAGTAAGTAACCTGTAACAATCGTTAAGTAGTCCCTTATAACCTGTACCTACTCTAGAAGTTCTACTATTATATTAACGTTAAGGTTTGTACAAGTATTATAGCCGTTAAGTATATGTATAAGTACGTTTATAAGGGTTTAGATTACACGACTATAGCTGTTTTAGAATCTATAGACGAGATTACATAGTATATTTAGGCCTGTTACGTAGGTATAATAGAGGCGTACTAGCGTTTGTTTAAGTTTAGGTATTACTAAGAGTACCTGTACATAAAGCGTTTAGCCTTATACCTAAAGGGTTAATAGCCTGTCTATTATAGTAAAGACTTAACCCCCTCTTAGTTAGCTATAAAGGCCGAAACGGCTAAGACAACCTTAATAGGCTTCTTTAACTATAATACCTGTTATAATCCGGATCTAAAAAGACTGTACTAGGAGTTCCTTAACTACTACGTGTAGTATAAGAAGCTAGAGTAGTAGCGCCTATAGTAAAAGAGGTAGGGTATTAGGCGTATATTCTACTATAGCCTTATTATAAGTAAGTGTTACTACTTACGGCTCTTACTTACTGTTGTTCCTAGTCTAAAATTGTTTAAGGAGCTATATGATTTTAAGGGCAAAACCTACCTAACGTATTACGCTATGTACGTAGTACGTAGGTTGTACAAGAGTGATTAGGAGTAGTTTTAATACTTTAATAAGGCTAAGGTCTTTACGTCTAGAAGTAGGTTATAGGCGCTTTTAGTGTTAGGTATCTGTCACAAGGCTATTACGGATCTAACAGCTTTATAAGATCGGTTTAAGGATAATCTATATAACGATCTACGCTACTAGCTTAGACAGGCGCCTACTAGCTCTTTTCCTTTTCTGTTACTTAATCCTTACTACGATTATAGACTGTTTCTAATAGAAAAGGGGCTTGTAGATTAGAGTAAGTCTCTAGTAGGCGTACAGTTACCTAAAAACAAGTTTAATTAGTCTTAGGTAGAGGCTATAACAGAACAAGAGTATAATCTTATAATAGAGACGGCTCTAGCTAAAGAACAAGTACTACTATTAAACGTAGGCTAGAAGGAGTACTATAATCAGGTTGTTACGGCTATTTAAGATAGTCTAGAAACAGTCTACTTCTATCTCTAAGGCCCTAGTAGTACTAGTAAGACGTTCCTTTACTAGACCCTTTACTACTACTTCTAGGGCTTAGGTAAGACGGTTTTCTATATTACCTTTATAGGTATTATAGCCTTCTTACTCTTAGGTAGCTATACCTCTTACTCTCTGTTTAAGATCCTTGTCCTTATCTATAAGACGTCTAGTAGTATAATAACTAAGACTTTATAGGCCAGAAAGCTCTTACGACAGGCCGATTTAATTATTTAGGATAAGGTTCTTATACAAAACAAGTACTGTTTTAAGGTAGTCTACCGGCTGTTTATAGACTTATAAGGCACTATAGATAACGTTCTCTTTAGTAGTATACCTGTTATCCTTAGTAAGGACTTTGCTTAGATCCTCTTAGTCGTCTATTATAGCTTATAAGCTAATATCGTTATAGTATTCCTTTAGAACACGTAGATCTAGCTATAGCTTAGGTAGTTACGCTTATAGACTAATATACAGGTAGGGGACAGTCTATAAGATTAATAGTTTATATAGTAGATTAGTAGCCTACTGTACGACCTTACCTTTTATAGCTAGGTAACGATACCCTTATATATCTCTTAGCCTTAGACTATACGTAAGCTTATTAACTCTGTTTACTTACGGGCTCTATTAGAGCAGGCTATTACAGACCCTACTATCTTTTACAGTCAGGCGATCCTGTCTGCCCTAAACAAGACTATAACAGAGCTAAATTACTTAGTCTTTGGCCTGTTTAATCCTAAAGGCGAGTTATAGACCTATATAGTAGTTAACTTAGTAGACGTAAACGATACTAATCCGGACGTTATAGTACTACTAGTTAAGTACCTATAGAGTATCGATCTCCTGTCGTTACCCTTATTAACCCTAAAACTTAAGGAAGGTACTCTAATTATAGTGTTATAGAACCTATGCCCTTAGAAGGGGCTATGTAACAGGTCGCGGATAGTCGTTACTAGGCTATAATAGCA